CATGAATGATGCTGCAATGAACATGGGAGTGCAAATATGTATTTGAGATCCTGCTTACAATTCTTTTGGATAAATACCCAGAAGTGGAATTGCTGGACCTATGATAGTTCTATTTTTAACTTTTCTTTTTTTCTTTTTAATGTTTTATTTATTTCTGAGAGAGAGAGAGAGAGAGAGAGAGAGAGAGAATGAGAGAGACAGCATGAACAGGAGAGAGTCAGAGAGAGAGGGAGATACAGAATCTGAAACAGGCTCCAGGCTCTGAGCCAGCTGTCAGCACAGAGCCCGACGCGGGGCTCGAACCCACGAACCGTGACCTGAGCCAAAGTCTGATGCTCAGCTTTGAGCCACCCAGGCACCCCTATTTTTAACGTTTTGAGGAGCCTCCATAATGGCTCTGCCATTGTACATTTCTGCCAACAGTGCATAGGGTGTTCAATTTCTCCCCATCCTTGTCAAAACTTGTTATTTTCTGGTTTTGTTTTGTTTTCAATAAGGATGATCTTAATGGGTGTGAGGTGATATCTCTGTGGTTTTATTTCACATTTCCTGACTTTTAGTGATATTGAGCACCTTTTTATATACCTGTTTGACACCTGTATGTCTTCTCTGGAGAAATGTCTATTCAATTCCTTTGTCCATTTTTAAATAGGGTAATTGTTTCCTTGTTGTTGAGCCGTAGGAGTTTCTCATACATTCTGGAGATCAACTCCTTACCAGATATATATTCCTATATATTTTCTCCTATTCTGCAGGTTGCCTTCTCACTATGCTGATGATTTCCTTTGCTGCACAGAAGCTTTTTGTTTGATGTAATTTCACTTGCTTATATTTTCTTTTTGTCTACATTTTTGGTGTCATATCCAAGAAATCATTGCTGAGACCAATGACATAAAGTCTAGGAGTTTTATTGTTTCAGACCTATGTTTAAGCCTTTCATCTATTTTGAGTTGGATTTTGTGTAGGGTGTAAGATAAGTGGCATATTCCATTCTTTTGCATGTGGCTATCCAGTTTTCCCAGCACCATTTGTTAAAGAAACCATCCTTTCCCCATTGTGCCATCTTGGAACCTTTGACAAAGATTGTTTAACCATATATGTGTGGTTTCATTTCTGAGCTCTCTGTTCTGTTCCATTGTTCTAGATTTCTGTCCTTATTCCAGCACCATATTGTTTTGATTACTGCTGCTTTGTAATATGCTTTAAAGTCAGAAAGTGTGGGGCCTCCAGCTTTCTCAAGATTGTTTTGACTACCTGGGATCCTCTGTGGTTCCCTGTGGATTTTAGGATGGATTTTTCTATTTCTGTGAAAAATCCCATTGGATTTTTGATAAGGAGTACACTGAATCTCTAAGTTGTTTTCAATAGCATGGACAGTGTAATGATATTAATTCTTCCAATCTATAAACACAGGATATCTTTCCATTTGTTTGTGTCTTCAACTTCTTTCATCAAAGACTTTTAGTTTTCAGCGTACAGAGCTTTCACCTTCTTGGTTAAACTTATTTCTAACTATTTTATTGTTTTTGATGCTATAATGAGTTGGATTTTTTTACTTTTTCAGATAGTTTGTTAGTGTATGGAAATGCAACTGATTTATGAATGTTAATTTTGTATCTTGCAACTTTACTGAATTTGTTACTTAGTTCTAGTCTGTTTTTGGTGAGGTCTTTAGGATTTTCTTCATATGCAATCATATCATCTGCCAACAAAGACAATTTTACTTCTTCCTTTCCAGTTTGGATGCCTTTTGCTTTTATTTTCTTGCGAGATGCCCTGCTAGGACTTCCAGTACTGTGTTGAATGGGGGTGATAAGAGTGGGCATGGGCTCACTGGTCTTGTTTCCTAGAAGAAAGGCCTTCAACCTTTCACCAATGAGTGAGATAGCTGTGGCCTTGTTTTATATGGCTTTCATTATGTTGCGTTCCTTTTATACCCAATTTGTTGAAAGTGTTACGACAGGATGCTGTACTTTATCAAATGCTTTTTCTATATCTTATTGAGATGATCATATGATTTTTATCTTTTATTCTATAATATGGTCTCTCACATTTATTGATTTGGTCTGTTGAACCATCCTTGCATATCAGGGATAAATCCTGCTCCATCACAGTATATGATCATTTTAATCTGCTGTTCATTTTGGTTGGTTAATATTTTGTTGAGAATTTTTCTATCTATTAATCTGTAGTTTTCTTTTTTTTCTGAAACAAGAAAAATCGGTTTTATTTTTTTCCATAGAACTTATTTTATTTATTTATTTATTTATTTTTTACAGATAGTTTATTGTCAAGTTGGTTTCCATATAACACCCAGTGCTCATCCCCACAAGTGCCCTCCTCCATGCCCATCTCCCCCCTCGCCCCCACACCCATGAGTCCTCAGTTTGTTCTCAGCATTCAAGAGTCTCTCATGGTTTGCCTCTCTCCCTCTCCCCCACCATTTCTCCCCTTCTTCTCCCCCATGGTCCTCCATTAAGTTCCTCCCAATCCTCCTATACGTGCAAACATATGATATTTGTCCTTTTCTGCCTGACTTATTTTGCTAAGCATAACACCCTCAAGGTCCATCCATGCTGCTACACATGGCCAGATTTCATTCTTTCTCATTGCCATGTAGTATTCCATGGTATAGATAAACCACATCTTCTTGATCCATTCGTCCATTGATGGACACTTAGGCTCTTTCCATGTTTTGGCTATTGTTGAGAGTGCTGCTATGAACATTGGGGTTCATGTGTTCCTATGCATCAGCATTTCTGTATCCCTTGGGTAAATTCCTAGCAGTGCTATTGCTGGGTCATAGGGGAGTTCTATTGTTAATTTTTTGAGGAACCTCCACAGTGTTTTCCAGAGGGGCTATACCAGTTTTCTTTTCCTGTAGTGTCCTATTGGGCTTTGGTATCAGCATAATGCTGGCCTCCTAAATGGGTTTGGAGAATTCTCTCCTCTTCAATTTTTGGATGAGTTTAAGAAGAACTAATACTAAGTCTTCTTTAAATGTTTGGTAGATTTCACCAGTGAAATTATCTGTCCCTGAAATTTTCTTTCTTAAGACTTTTTTGTTATTACTTCTTTTAGGTTGGTTAATATTTGCTTTATACACTTAGGTTCTCCTATGTTGGGTGCATAGGTATTTAGAAATGTGATATCCTCGGGGCGCCCGGGTGGCTTAGTCGGTTAAGCGTCCGACTTTCGCTCAGGTCATGATCTCGCGGTTCGTGGGTTCGAGCCCCGCGTCGGGCTCTGTGCTGACTGCCAGCTCGGAGCCTGGAGCCTATTTCAGAGTCTGTGTCTCCCTCTCTCTCTGACCCTCCCCTGCTCACGCTGTCTCTCTCTCTCTCTCTCCTAGAAATAAATAAAACATTTAAAAAAAAAAAAAAAGAAATGTGATATCCTCTTATTCACCCTTTTATCATTATATAATGACTTTATCTTTTGTTACATTCTGTCTTAATGTCTATCGCATCTGATATAAGTACGGCTACCTCATCTTTCTACCATTTTTAATGATATCACCAAGCTAACTCATTATTATTGATTAGGTTTAGATTATTGACTCATCATAAAGAGAGTCAGCCAATCAGAGAGGAATTACTTATCATATATATTTTTATAAAATAATTTGATTCATTTTTATCATATTGATTATTTTACATTTTGGTCTTTTAAAACCTTTATTTCTGAGAAAGAGAGTACAAGCAGGGGAGGGGCAGAGAGAAAGGGAGACAGAGGATCCAAAGCAGGCTTTGTGCTGACAGCAGAGAGCCTGATGCAAGGCTCAAAGTCACAAACCATAAGATCATAATGGAGCTGAAGTCGGGTGTTCAACCAACTGAGCCACTCAGGCGCTCCTCAAGTTTGTTTTTAAATTCAGTCGACTTACTGCCATTGTAAATAACTCTTATTCATGGCAAAAATAATGGTGTTTCCTATTGAACAGTGCTATTAAGATTGTATGTTTAAGTAAAAAATGACTGCAAATAAAAGAAAATTTAGGTAAATAATAATGCAGGTTGTTCAAGATTTACATTCTGTTTTTTACCCTAATTTCCATTCATTTTGCTTACTTTATTCTAAAAGTGTATAACTGCAAACATTTATATTATTACAATTATGCTTTGATTCCATCACAGAACCATGTAGCATACCATCTCTATTTCTCCTATTTTACAACTGTTTCAGGCAGAGGGGAATTCTACCTGATTTAGTGAACTATTCTATTACATTCTACTATTTTTTAAAATCATGCTAAATTTCGGCTTCCTGCATACTTGGACCATGACTTTCTTTTACAGTTTTTTGTATATGATTTTTCTTTTTCTTTTAAATGTTTGTTTTTATTTACTTATTTAAATTTTTTCAATGTTTATTGATTTTTGAGAGAGAGAGAGGCAGAGTGAGAGCAAGGGAGGGGTAGAGTGAGAGATGGAGACACAGAATCTGAAGCAGGCCCCAGGCTCTGAGCTGTCAGCACAGAACCCTACACAGGGCTCAAACTCATGAACCAGGAGATCATGACCTGACCTGAAATCAAACACTTAACTGACTGAGCCACCCAGGTGCCTCTAAATGTTTATTTTTATTTTTGAGAGAGAGAGAGCATGAGCAGGGGAGGGGCAAAGAGAGAGGGGGACGGAGGATCCAAAGCAGGATGCATGCTGACAGGCTGACAGGCTGACAACAGCCAGCCCAATGCGGGGCTCGAACTCACTAACAGTGGGATCATGATTTGAGCCAAAGTCAGATGCTCAACCGACTTAGCCACCCAGGTGCCCCCATATATGATTTTTCTAAAGTTTCTCCATGCTCTTCTGTTTTTAAATAGTTTACACATACATTTGTTATTTATTGAGTATATACCAAGTGTCAGGCAAGGAACCAGTAGTCAACGATCCCCAACCTCATGGAGCTTACATTTTCTAGGAGAAGAAGGCAATAAATAATGGACATAATCAATTGATGAACTAAACAATTGTTTCACATGCTAATAAAGCAGAGAAGGAGAGACTGGAAGAGTCAAAGTGAAAGATGATTTGCAATTTTAAATATGATTATCTGGATACACCTCACCTGAATGACATCTGCATAAAAACTTAAATGAGATGTGGGAGTTAAATGTATGGACATGTGGGGTAAATGCATTTATGGAAGAGGAACCACTGATGCAAAAGCCCTAAGGTGAGCATGTGTCCATTGTCCTTTGAGGAATGTTGAGGAAGCCAGCCAGCATGGTTGGAGCTGAGTGAATGAAGGAGAGGTGGGAGATAGGCAGCAATGGGCCAGAATAAGCAAAACTTGTAAGCCATCATAAGAATTGTCTTCTGCTGTGAATGAAATGGGGAGCGACTGGTAGCTTCTGAGCAGAGAAGGGACATGATGTCTCCAAAGCACTGAGACCAGACCGTAAGGGAGGAGGAGAGTAGAAATGTACATGTCAGGAGGCCATCCGAGTGATCCGGTGATGGGTGATGGTGACTCAGACCAGGGTGGAAGTAGTAGAGGTGATGGGAACTGTTGCAACTCTAGGTGCGTTTTGAGGAACAGCCCGTGAGATTTCTGGAAGATTGGATGTGGGGTGAGGAGGAGGACTCAAGGACAAGGCCAAGATGTTCAGTCGGAGAGATGGGCTGAGGTGCGGAAGGCTGGGAGTGGAGGGGGTTTCCGGCTGGGTGTGGCAGACATCACCCTTCAGTTTGGGACATATTGTATTTGAGAGACCTTATACTTCCTAAGGGAAGAATGATTACACATCCTGGGGAAAGACATTCCTACAACACTGTAGTATAAATATCAGAATCTCACTCATTATTGCTGGAGAAAGTTTTATTAGATCCTTCCACTTTCCTGTTCTAATTTGGACAATCTCATGCTGGAGCATATAACTATCACCCTGAGATATATTTCCTTTCGATTTTTAGGATGAGCCTCTGAGCAACACAGACCACATCCTCCTCTCTCTCGGTATTTACTGTCTCTTTGAAGTAAATACTCAGGTAACTTCCTCAGAAAAGATACACAACATTCTGAGACTATACATGTCTGAAACTGAGTTTAATCTGACCGACAGTCAGTAATTACTTGAGTATGAACAGAAGTCTACACCTCAGAGAACTTTAATGTTTCTGTATCCTGCTTTCCTGGAATCCATTGTTGTAGATGAGAAGTCCTATGTTTCCTACAGATTCTGTTCGTCTCCATAACTTTCATTTCTGACACCCAGAATGATGCCCAAATTAAAATTTTAAGATAAATTACACTGACAATTAAGGCAAAACTTTAAAAGCTACCCCATAAGAAAATGAGTTTATGGATTTCCTTGTGTTGTGTAATCAAAGAATTAAAAGCCAAACCAGCTGATACTAACTTGTCTACCAAGTTTTCACTATATGGGGACTTGGTTAGAAGAGAAGTTTTCTCCACCACCGTCCGAGCACTGCCTTTCATCTTCCCACTGCTCACCATCTCTCACCAGCTCCGTCTTCCTGCTCCAATCAGCCTAGGAAAGAGCAGCTGATCTGAAGTACATCCAAACATACAACTGAGGGGGAAAAAATCAATGAGGCAACAGAGTGGGGGAAATGGAGAGCATTCTCTACATAGGCTGAGAACCCCCTGCTAGCCATTTTTTCCCTCCAACTGTTCTAGATCAGTGCTGCCCAGCAGAACTTTATACAATGCTGGAAATAATTCTATGTGCTGTTCAATGAAATAGCACTAATATCATGTGGCTGTTAAGCACTCACAATGTAGTCAGTGCAACTAAAGAGCTGAACTTTCTAAATTGTATTTAACTGTTTTAGGTTTATTTATTTTTGAGAGAGAGAGAGAGAGAGAATGAGTGGGGAGGGGCAGAGAGAGAAGGAGAGAGAGAATCTCAAGCAGGCTCTGACCCACTAGTATGGAGCCCGACTTGGGCTCAAACCCAAAAACCATGAAATCATGACCTGAGCCGAAATGAAGAGTTGGGCGATTAACCAACTGAGCCCACCCAGGTGCCCCTAAATTGTATTTAATTATAATTAATTTCCACTTAATTAGCTGCATGTGGCTAGCAACTACTATATTGAACAGGACAGTCCCCAGGTAGGGATGAGATGATAGCCACCACAGAAAGCTGTTAGCCACCTGTTACAGAGGCTCTTGTTAAATTACCCTCAGGCTTAAGGGTGTTTCTGTTGTCTTAAATTCAGAGACAAGAAAGAAACTCCTTGTTAACATCCTGATAGCCAGCAGGTGAACTGCCCATTCTGCAACCTCAGGCAATTCTCAGCCTGCATGTTGACCTTCTGGCCTCTCCTCCACTCATGAACCTCCCCATTAAGTTACCTTCAGCACGCTAAATGCTGCACTATCTTTCATCTTTTACAAGGTTTTTTCTGTTGGCCTCATATTTTCCTCTAGCTAAAGTCCCATTTCTCTGCTCCTGAAGAGTGGCCTACTTCTTTCCATTTCATTAAGTTCCAGATGTCCTAGAACCCATTCTAATTGGGCTTTTACCCCCAGAATTCCACTAAATTCCATTAAAGCACCAAGCTCACGGATTCATTTTCAATCTTCATCATCCTCAGAGCAGCATTTGACACAGCTGATCACATATTTCTTCTCAAAATACATTTTCTTTGGTCTCTGCTTCACTATCCACTCATTGAATAAATATGTATTGATGTTACTTGATAAGTAATCCCTAGGAATGTCTATTAGCATTCCTTTCTTTTCTCCGATGCATTAATGACAAAATGGGATAAAATAATAATTATAAGAATGCTTTATTAAGTTTGTAGCATTTTATAGATGTGATAGTTGTAACAATAACAACACAAAGGAAAGCAAAAGATATAGAGCTATTTAGGAGATATACTTCTATATCTCACCAGACATAAGTTAGTATAAATCTAAAGTAGATTCTGATATGTTAAAATGTATATGGTAAGTGGTAGAACAATTAAGAAGAAAATGACCACATTATATAATAATGAAACATTATTCTATGAAATTTCTAATGAAATTTCTTAGAGAAATTAGAATGCTACACTAGAAAATATTTACTTAACGCAAAAGACAGCAGCAAAGGAGACATAGAAGAACAGAAATGACATGAGTAATACAGAAAACAAAAAGTAAAAGGGTAGGTGCCACTGGCTGGCTCAGTCAGAGGAGTGTGTGACTCTTGGTCTTTGGGGTCATGAGTTTGAGCCCCACGTTGGGTGTAGAGATTACTTCAATAAATAAACATTTTTTTAAAAAAGTAAAATGGAAGACATAAATCCAAGTATATCAATAATAATATTAATTGTGAATGGATTAAACAATCCAATTTTTAAAAAACCCAGGGACTAGCGAAATAGATTGAAAGACATAATCTAACCCTGTGTTGTTTACAGAAAACAAATTGTATTTCTTTAAACAAAGCATAATTAGCATATAGTATTATAGTAGTTTAGGTGTCAGGAAACATGCTTTCAACAAATAGGTTAAAAGTAAAAGGATGGAAAAATATATAAGAAGCCATAAGAGAGCTGGGATGGCTTTACTAATATAAGGTAAAATAGACATTAAAAGAAAAATACGTTACTATGTACATATAGGGACATTTTATAATTATAAAAGGGTCAATCCATAAAGAAGCTATAATAATTACAAACACACATGCACCTAACAACAGAGCTTCAAAATTTGTGAAGCCAAGGCTGACAAATTGAGGGGAGAAATAGGAAATTCAACAATAATAATTGGAAGCTTCATGCCCCATCTTCAATAATGGACAGAACAACCAGAGAGAAGATAAACAAAGGAAACAGAAGACTTAACCAGCACTATTAACCTATACCTAGCTTACAACCCTCTACCCAAAGACATAAGAATAATAACTTCTTCTCAAGGAATGAAACATTTTCCAGGAGAGGCCATGAGTTAAGCCATAAAACAAGCTCCAACAAATTTAAAAGAGTTGAAATCAGGGGTGCCTGAGTGGCTCAGGTGGTTGAGTGTCTAATTTGTGATTTCAATTCAGGTCATGATCTCAGGGTTGTGGGATCAAGCCTCACTTGGGGCTCTGCACTGAGCATAGAGCATGCTCAGGGAGCTCTCTCTCTCTCTCTCTCCCACTGTCCATCTCCCCTGCTTGTCCTCTCTCTCTCTTTCTAAAATAAAAAAAGTTGAAATTATGAAGATTATGTCCTTTGATCACAACAGAGTCATACTAAAAATTAATAAAATAAAGAAACCTGAGAAATTGACAACTACAGAGAAATTAAACAATACATTCCTAAAAAAATCAACAAGTCACAAAAAGAAATCACACGAGAAATTAGAAAATGCTTTCAGATGAATGAAAATGAAGGCATAATACAGCATATGGGACATAGTTAAGTAGTTTACTTTTTATTTCTTTTAATGTTTTTTTTTTTTTTTTTTTTTGAGAGAGAGATCTGGGGAGGGGCAGAGAGAGAGGGAGACACAGAATCCAAAACAGGCTCCAGGCTCTGAGCTGTCAGCGCAGAGCTTGATGCAGGGCTTGAACCCATGACTGTGAGATCGTGACCTGAGCTGAAGTTGGACGGTTAACGACCTGAGCCACCCAGGTGCCCCTAGTTTTTATTTTTAAGTTTTAAAAAAAGTTTTATTTATTTGGAGCACCTCAGTGGCTCAGTCAGTTAGTGGCCAACTCTTGATTTTGGCTCAGGTCATGATACTACTAAGTGTGGAGCCTGCTTAAGATTGTCTCTCTCTCTCTCTCTCTCCCTCTCTGCCCCTCTCCCCCCTACTCGAATATGTGCTGTCTGTCCCTCCCTCTCTTAAAAAAAATTTCATGGGGCTCAAACTCAACAACGCTGAGATCAAGAGTCAAATATTCTTCCAACTGAGCCAGCCAGGCACCCCTCAGTTAAGCAGTTTTTACATGAAAATTTATAGCTATAAAAGCCTATACCAAGAAAGAAGAAATATTGACATTTAATGTTCTACCTTAAAAAATAGAAAGGTAAGAGCAAACTAAACCCAAAGAAAGCAGAAGGAAGGAAATAATCAAGATTAAAGTAAAGGTAAATGAATCAACAATAAAAAAACAAAAACAAAAACACTAGAGTGAATCAATGAAACCAAAACTTGATTCTTTGAAAAAGGTCAAGAGAATTAACAAACCTTTGGCTATACTGACAGAGAGAGAGAGTGGAGATTCAAGCTACTAAAATGATTAAAGAAAGAGGGGTTATTAGAAAGAGGTATAAGAGAATACTATGAACAATTCTATCCTGAGAAATTAAATAACCTAAATGAAATGGATGAATTCCTAGAAACTAACACTACCAAAGAGAAGGCATATGAAATCCAAATAGACCTATAACTGGTATAGAGATTGAATCATTTAACAAAACAAAACTACCAACAAAGAAAAGCTTAGGACCAGATGGTTACATTGGTTAATGCTACTAAATATTTAAAGAAGAATAAACATCAATTCTTCCCACAGTCTTCTAAAATATAAGAGGAAGAAACACTTCCTAATTCAGTCTACAAGATTGGTATTAGTCTGATATCAAAGAAAGAGAAAGACACCATCAGAAAACCTTACACCAATATCCTTTATAAATATAGATGCAAAAATCCTCAACAAAATGCTAGCAAAATGAATGCAGCAGCATACGAAGATAATTATACACCACGACCGACTGAATTTACTGCAGGCATGCAAAAGTGATTCAACATAACAAAAGTCTATCAGTGGCATACTGTCATTTCACAGAATAAGGAAAACACCACATGATCACCCCAACTGTTGCAGAAAAAACATCTAACAGATACAATACCCTCTCATTATAAAAGTAGTCAACAAATTGGGAATAGAAAAAAACTTATTCAACTATAAAGAGCACCAGCGAGGGGTGCCTAGGTGGCTCAGTCAGTTCAGTGGCCAACTTCAGCTCAGGTCATGATCTCATGTTTGTGAGTTTGAGCTCTGTATCGGGCTCTGTACTGACGGCTCAGAGCCTGGAGCCTGCTTCAGATTCTGTGTCTCCCTCTCTCTCTGCCCCTCCCCCACTCATGCTCTGTCTGTCTCTCTTTCTCAAAAATGAATAAACATTAAAAAAATTTTAATAAAAATAAAAAAATAAAAAGAGCATCAGTGAAAAACTCCCAGCTAACATCATGCTAACAACATGGTGAGAAAAACAATGCTTTCCCTTAAGATAAGGAAAATGACAAAAATGTCTACTTTCCCCACTTGTATTCAATATGGACTGGAAGTTCTAGCCAGGGCAAGTGGGGGGGGGGGAGGGGGCGTGGCAGAACCAGTAAAA